TTGTCTGCACCACTTGCCCACTTGCCAACCTTCTAGAAGGACTGCAGCTAGCCTTCTAATCTACAGGTCTACAGCTCGAATCCTGACTACCTATAGACCTACGACAGACCTACCTACCACTGGCGGTTCTACAGGTCGCAGGTTCAACTCTTCGAGTTGACGCAGGTATTGTACACAGGTAAGTTGGGAAACTAGGGATCGAGCCCTGGGATCTGTCTCAGCTACCACAAATTGGTGAATACCGTTTCACAATTGGTTTTATTCCTAAATCTATCACTCTACTCACTTCTTCTTTTCAACTTACATTATTTGAATTTTTATAATATTGATTTTTTGCATTTGATCTAATACTATATCATCTATATGTATATTTTGTCTATACTATATGTATATAATATCTTATGTCTATATTTTCTATCTATTCAATGTTTACTTTTATTAATAGTTAAAAAAATTATAGTCAAGAATCTTTTCGAGCTGCTCGATATATAGGCTGTCGAACACAGCAGGAAATCTCAGGAGGCAATGATAGCCTATGCGAACGAACACATACAACAGTCCACATTTCAGGTAGGGGAACGTGTCTGGGTAAAGGCTAGTGAACTGGGTCAGGAATTCGGAATCTCTAGAAAGCTAATGCCACAGTATTTCGGTCCTTGGGAAGTCTTGGATATTGTGGGTAGTGAATTGGATGGACCCTCGTACGTCATAAGAATCCCTGGACATCTGCGCACTTACCCTGTATTTCTTGCTTCCAAGCTGGCACCTTTCACTGAGACAGATTAGTTCCCATCAAGGAGGTCAATGCTGCCCCCAACCATGGATGGCCATGTGGAGACTTGCCTGTTCCCAAGCCTGTGGGGAGGGGAAGACCGCCGAAACCTACGAGGGAATACCGGGTCAGATTTAGGCATCATACGTATCATAGGAAGTTCGTTGGTTCGCAAGAGAGGAGCTCGTTAAAACAGCACCTCAGATCGTGGCTGAGTACGAACGAAGACTGAAGGGAAAAGCACCTGCATAGAAGCATCTCAGTGGACTTTCGAAGCTAAGGGGGATGGAATGCGGGGAATGATTCCTCGCGGGGCGTTATCAGACATGCAAGTGTTCTGGGCTGCGGCCCCCAGCAAACCCGTGCCCGCCCTAAGTGAAGGCGGGCCTGAATATCCACGTTAGGCCTATTTTTGCCATTTTCCATGTGTGGGGAATCAGATAGTTGCAGCACGCCAGTTGGTTACAAAGCAATGTGAGCCTCCAGTCTCTTTCCGGAAGCAAGGGCTGCGCTGTACAGTTGAGCCCAGGGCTCAGGCGGTAGCGCCCTGGGCACATGCTGTGTGAGGCCGACACATCACGGACCGGTCGCGGGCCAATGAGAGAGCAGCATTGTCGTCACACATGCACCGCGAGCCAATGAGAATGCTGCGAACACTTTGAGGCTGGTGGCTGCCTGAACATGCTAACAGCACGAGGCCCAGGCCAGTGACACATCATGGACCGGTCGCGGGCCAATGAGAGAGCAGCATTGTCGTCACACATCCACCGCGAGCCAATGAGAATGCTGCGAACACTTTGAGGCTGGTGGCTCCCTGAACATGCCTAACAGCACGAGGCCCTGGCCAGTATCTGAAACTGGGCCTGGGCGAAGACACTTGGGGCCAGAGTCAAGCTATTGCTGGCCCCCCGCCCCCCCCGCCTGGCCAGGCCAACCAGCAGCGGGCACACTTTCTATAAAGGAAAGTGTGTGCCCCAGAGGAGGGCATTCTGGCCTTGGTGGGCAATGCAGCCACTCTGCTGCACTCGCACACGAGCAGCTGCATTAGCGCTGCGGGCCAGACGCGCGCACGGCCGCACTGCTGAGGCAGTGGGCGCAAAGCGGCCATAGCCGGGCTGCTGGGGCGCAGGCAGGTGATGGCGATGGCGGTCTTCGGGTAGGAGGCGCATGCAGAAGGGAGTCGAGGTGGGATGAGGGGAGGAGAACGTACCTGGTGTATGCTGGCCGTCGGCATTGGTGATGACGTCACTACATTGGTCTTCAACTTCGATGTGATCCAGTCGCATGAATGTAGATAGGATAGATACGCTGAGTAGTGTAGGCTGGGCGCTGGGCGCCAGACAGTACGAGCGACATTGGATACCTTGTTGGTGTGACCAGAGAGCGTCGGCATTGGCACTCGAGTGCATTGTATTGCTCTTATTTGGATGGTATCTTGGAGCATTGTGCTCTCTGCTTGGTACATGACTATCTTGGCTACTACATGATTTGCAACTTGGATTTCTGTCCATCGCTCTCACTCATATTCCTTGCAGAAGGAAGGAGGAAGGTGGAGGAGAAGAGTGAAAGAGGAAGCTTACCTTGGCTATGGTGGACAACACCTGGAAGGCCCCTGGATGAGGTTATGGAGTCAAGAGGACTCCAGCGAATAAAGTAGGCTTGGCAGTGGAAATGGCAGGCCCAAGAGAGCTTTGCGTTGTCCTTTGGACATCCAGGCTGGGCCTGGGTGCTGCCGCCATAGCCGGTTGCTCAACCAAGTAGGAATAGGAGGTGTAGGTAGTCCAAGGACTTGTTGTGATGCCGGCAGTAAAGGGGAGATTGGGACATTGATTCTGGTTCATTCATTCATTTTTATTGTTAAAAGAAGATGTTGGAGGAGTTGACATTGGGTCCAGCTTGTGCTCTTCTCTTCTTCTTCTTCTCCTTCTCTTCTCCATTATTCTTCTTCCTTTGTCTATTTCTCTTTCCGATCTCTTTCGTTTCGGTTCAATTGAACGACATTGTCTCTTTCTGGATTTTGCGCTGTGAGATTTCCAGGATCATAATATATCTCATTTTAATTCCACACTCCTTACCTTCTGTAAGGACCTGCCAAACAATGGACTGAGACACAGCTGATTTCTGAGTTTTGCCAATGGAATGTATGCCTTGCTGAGACTCCCGCTTGTTGCTGAGTTCCTGAAGTCTGTGTGTGTGTCCATGCTTGCTGGTCTGCATGCCTGTCTGAGTGCTTGAGTGTGTGTGTGTGACCCGCAAGGGCACTTGTTCGTTCGGGAGGGACGAAGGGCCGGTACTTACCTGTGGCCGTGACTTTGAGGGTTGCAGCGGGAAAAACACTCGTGTTGCGGGAGTAGGCCCGCGACACTTAGAGCAGTGGGGAAAAAACACTCAAGTACCAGGTAGGTCGGCACCACACTAAGTAGCGGTAGATGTGCCGGGAACGGAGGCCGAGCAGAAGAAGACAGAAGTTGGCATTTTTAGAGGCCCAGTAGTTGTAGACTAGGTCTAGGTGGGTACCGGTCCAAGTAGTCTGAGTCTAGGGCTTGTACGGGCGATATCAGAGTCTGCAATGATGTTTCCCTCCGAAAGGGAGGAGGTACCGGTCGCTTGGAGGCCGCGGGACCTGAAGTCACCGCCCAAGAGGCAAGTAGGCCGCTATATCTCCAGGAGCGAAGTGCTCCTCCTCATTTGCTGCGTGCAAGTTTGGACGTCATGCTCCTGGAGCGCTGGAGGAGCAGCGCTAGTGTGCAGCGCTGCGGGGAAGAAGGGTGCCCAGCTCTCCACCTTGGCTATGGTGGAGAAGCTCGAGTAGGAGGAGGAGGAAGAAGGGACTAGGAGAGGGGAGCGCCAGGGGTACTTACCTGGCTATGGTGGATGCCATCTTCATCACCTTGATGGGCGCTGCATCTGGAAGCCCCCCGTTGGGGTAGAGCTACACCAAGAAGCTTCGAGGCCGAGTCGGTCATGGCGTCCTGAGTGGAAGCAGCCATAGCTGCTTTGTGTTGTCTTTTGCACTTCAGGGCAGTGCCTTAGTAGTCCGCCATAGCCTCGGTCTATGAAGAGGAAGGAGGAGGGCGGTCATGGCTATGGTGGACCTAAGTTGTGCTGACAGTAGAAGAGGGGATGTAGGCAGCTCATGATCAACTGCATCAAACATTGTGAGCCTTGTACGGGAGAGGCACAGTGAAGAGGGAGCTAAAGGAAGAAATAGGAAAGAACTGCAAAAAAGCCAAATAAGGAAAGGTCCTTTTATACATCCATTAAATTGGAATGATACGTAGAAGATTAGCATGGCTCCTGCACAAAGATGACACGGATAAGTCAAGGAATGGTCCTTTTTTTTTGAGGAGGAAAGAAGAGCCAAAACAAGGAAATAAAAGAACGAACTGACAGGAAAACGCAAAAAAAGAAAGGTTGAGAGTGCTTCCTGCTGTCTTCTACTTTCTTTGTTTGTTTAGCAAAGTACGCTTTTTTTTCGTTGGTAATATGTGACAGTATATGGGTGTCGTCGATGCATCCGTCTGTCTGCCCTTTTGCATCTTCTCCAGGTTTTTGAGGTTTTGCACCGGAAAAGCCATCAAATCACACAGCGCTTATTGGTCAAGGGAGAAGGTAGGAGGTGATAGGCTCTGGCAGGAGAAAGGAGGGAGGAGCAAGGAGGTCTTCGGTCTGGTGTTCTTCTGTTTGCGAGGTCTTTCTTTCCCAAAGGAAGAATTGATGATTTAGGAGCGATGGAAGGTGTTTCAGATTTCTTGTCTCGCCACCCGGGCGAGTTTACATTGCTGGAAAATGGGCGAGTCAAGTGCACTCTATCTGGTCATGAAATCTTGCCGGATGTGGGTGCGCTGGAAGCGCATCTTCAGAGCAAAAGGTACAAGCTGGCAAAGTTTGAAAGTCAAGAACTGGTGAAGTTGCAACCTCATGTGGTCCAACACCCTGAGATGAAGGACAAACTGCTGTGCAATCTCACAGGGAAGGTAGTAAACAAGACGGAGGAGGCGGTGTGGAAGCACATAATGGGGAAGAGGTTCCAGAGCATTCTGAAGGAAAAGGAGGAGGGGAGGAAACGGCAAGAAGGGACCGGTCAAGCCACAGCAAAGGAAGGACTACAGACGGATGCCGCAATGAGTGGGGGTGAGAGCTGCGAGGAGAACCGGACAGCTATGGTGAATGGCGGAACAGGAGGAGCCATGTCAGTTGGAGGAGGAGTTGAAGGCCAAGGAGTGGTGAAAAAATTGGAAGGGCAAACAACTGCAATGCTGGAGGATGGGAAAAGGAACAGAAGGAGAAAAGTCAAAATTGGAGCGAGGGCACAGAAAGTGGATAAGGGGGAGCAGGGAAATGCAGAAGGAGATGGAGTGCTTAAGCCTGATCAGGATGGGGCGGCAATGGACGGGGTTCAACGGGAGAAGGTGGGTGGGAAGAGGAGAGCGGAGAAGTGTTGTGACGATGACATGGATGTGGAGACGATGAGCGACGGAAAAGAAGGGGGGGATGAAGTTGCAGCGGACGGCGAAAAAGATGATGATGATGATGAGGTGGATTTTTGGTCACCGCCTCCGGGAGCACGATGGGATGGCGATGATGGTGGGAAAAGGTGGAAAGCTCCTCCGAAGAAAGCAGAAACAGATCAGCAGAAGGCGGAGTGCATGGATGTGGATATGGAAGATGCTGACGGGCTGGATGGAAAAAGGGATGGCCAGGAGGGGGAGGAGGATGTGATGATCGAAGAGACACGGATAAAGAGAACCACTGCTGCTGTTGGCCCTGCTGCAAGTGCACCACAGAAGAAGAAGAAAAAGAAGAATAAAAAACAATCCACAGCACAAGGTGAAGTTAAGAAATGAGAAATGTGATGAGCATTCACTGCTTTTATTTTCAATCTGTGCTCTCTCTGGGCTTTCCTTGTTGAATGGATGTGTCACAATGCTCTCTCTCCCTCCCTCTCTCTCTCTCTGTCTCTCCCTCTCTCTCTCTCTCTCTCTCTCTCTCTCTCTCTCTCTCTCTCTCTCTCTCTCTCTCTCCT